GCAGACTGGGACGAAAGCAAGTCAACCTCAGGGTTTGTGTTTACTTTAGAAGGAGGAGCCATTGTATGGAGGAGTGTCATGCAGAAATGCGTGGCAGACTGAACCATGGAAGCTGTGTATGTAGCAGCCTCAAAGGCAATGAAAGAAGCTGTTTGGCTCAGCAATTTTCTCCTCAACCTTGACGTGGTGCCAAGTTTGCCCGCTGCAATTACAGTGTTCTGTGATCATGGCGGACCAGTAGCAAATTAGAAAGAGCCACGAACTCATAAAGCGAGTAAACACATAGAGCGCAAGTACCACCTTATACGAGAAATCGTTGGACGAGGAGAAGTCGTTGTTGCCAAGATACAATCAGAGGACAACCTAGCAGACCCTTTTACGAAGAGCCTACCGACGAAAGTCTTTTCAAGACACGTAGAAGGAATGAGAGTCAGATGTTAGAGCAACATATTAGACTAGTCTTTGGGAATTAGATTAAAAGAGAATTGTGGTTAGTGATAGTCATGAGCTTATTAAGCATAAGTGGGAGATTGTTAGATATGCTGTAAAAGCTTGGCTTTCAGATATTAATAATACCATTTTGATCTGGCAATTGCGTTTTGGTCAAACTATATATGCTTGCAGTTTATTTATTTATGCAATCATACTCCTTGTCTTACATTGAGATAGTGTGGTTCGTGTTGTCTCGAACAGAAAGGTCACCTATCTGTTCCTTGTTAGACTAAAACACTTGTTCACAATCTAGACTGGCAGTGAGACCCCACTTGGAAAAAGACTGTAGTGTGTTCTTGATTTAGTTGACCTTAACCGGAGAATTACACTAGTACTTATGTAAGTATTGAATAGGACCACCCGGAAGGATAAGATTATGAGACTCAGTGATCGTTGTTGTAATCTATACCTTCAGCGATTGACGCGTTCCCTAAAGCTATAAGATAATATGAAATAGTAGTGTATATTCATTGCTTGTTTATTTGATTTACCAAGTGTGATTCCTAATTTGTTAGGATGACATACTCAGTACTATGGTAAATGAGAATGTTTATATGAAGAACTATTATAAATTATTTATGGTACCGTGTTCTTGTGCGCTGGATTGATGACGTCCCCGAAATGAGCTCAGGAAGGAATATTGTGTTAAACCCTGCGGGTGGATATTTATCCAACACAATGATTAAAGTTCTAAGTGGTACTAATTTCGGAAATGAATAAGAAGTCGATTAATTATCTTGTCAGTAATTTAATTAATCCATGGACGTTATATCATAAGCATGAGGAGGTAAATCGGTCAATTAGATTAATATTTATTAATCAAGTTGAGGTTTAATTTAATTAATTAAATTGTAGCCAAAAGGGGGAGAGCAATAATAATATTCTAGTGGGATTTATTATTATTTTATTTTATTAGGATTATAGGAGTTAATTTTATTCCATATTTATTATTCCAAGACTTAGGGAATATTCCTTCTAGAATATTATCTAGAGTTAGAAGACTAGAGAGTCTTCTAGAAGGTAATGTTAGGAGAAAGGAATCATGACCTAATATGGATTAGTTTATGGAGTGGAATTAGGATTCCTTGGCCTAATGGGATAAACCCATATTTGGCACCTCCTTAAGGTCCCTAATGGAGCCTATAAATATACAATGTCCCAACCTCTTGTACATGATTATTGCTAGGGCCGATTTTCTCACTTCAAGAGAGAGAGAATTGTCTTGTTCGAGAGTTAGGGAGATTCAATTAATCGCACCACCAAGATTAATCGAAGTAGGTGTTTAGGTAATCCATTAGAAGGCTTTAAGGTGATTTTCTTTAAACCTCAAAGCTCCATATTTTCCGGCCATCTTCCCCAGCGAGTCGTCGCCGTGGACCCCGCCAGAAAATCGCTGCCGCCGCCGATTGCCGCCCAGACCGCGCCCGAGCCCAGCCGCGCGCTTTCGCGAGCACAGCCTGCTACCGCGCACAGCCGAACATCGTGCCCAGGTCTCATCCGCGAATCCCCGCGCCTTTTGTATGCTCGTGTCTCGTCGTCCCTGCTCGCGATCATCGCCCCGATCCAAGCGACCGCGATCCACGCGCCCAGCTTCCCTCGCTCGCCCAGGATACCGCGCACGCCCAGGTAACGTGCAGTGCACGATCCGCGCAGCCCAGATCCCGCGCGTTTATCCTCGGCAACCCAGGACACCCGCACGCGTCTGCTGCCTGCCCGAGTCCTTCTCCGCGTCGACCTAGGTCTCCTGCCCAGCACGCGTGCACGTCCAGCGATTGTCTCAGTCTGCCCACGCGTCCCGACCACTAGACCACGACCCGTGCCAGACTGTAACCCGCGTCTGCCCGCGACCCGAGCCGCTGCAACCCGACCTGACCCGAGACTTGATCTGAATCGGTCCAAACCCGATCAACTTGTTTCGATGATCCGTTCGTGATTCAACACTCGACTAGAGTCGATAAAGGCCAAACTCTTCAACCGATTGAGTTGTGGTAATCAAACGATCTCCATCAAAGGAAATCAAAAACGTTTCTAAGTCGGCAAAAGTCTTAAAAGGTAATGTCCTAATCCTAACTATAGATTCCGCTGCTTTAGAATTTATTTCGATAAGTTCAATACTGTGCATGTCGTTGACGTTCCTCATAGAACCCAACATACCGTGCGCGCCCGAGCGAAGCCGTGCACGTGATTTCCCGTGCCCAGGGACCCCATGTCTAGCAACCACGACCATCCACTCGAGTGTGTGCCCAGCGACCCGGCAGTAGCACCCAGTGCGCCCAAACGAGCCACCAGCGGCTACCCTGACCAATCCAGCAGCAAGCACAAAAGTTGGATCCATCCCCCTTGAAATTACACAGTCAACCAAGGAGTAAAATCACTCGCAAAACACAAAAGCTCCAAAATAGAGACACAACAACTCCAAAACGGAGCCCACAACTCTATAACGGACACTAAGACATCGGTAGACAAACACAACCAACAAAAGAGAAATGCTAACAAAATAACATACATCTCACACCTACTAATATAATAAAGCCCTCCGCACTACCAACCCAAAATAACCTCCCTAGCGTAAGCGACAACCAAAGAAAACCCAATAAATATAATCAAGCCCGACATCTAGCAACTCCAAACTTCCTAACACAACAGGCTATGGCTAACTTGACCCAAAGCAACAAGGTCTGACCCTCCTTTCAAACAGATTAGCTCCAGAAAACAACCCCGAGACTCAGCAGCTGAAACTTCCCCCAACATAACCTTGGCACCGATAAAACAAACTATAAGACAACATACCAGAGGGGTAATCTCCCAACACAACCTGACAAATAGGACAACCCTGGAGGAGACGCCCTCGCCGGCCCTAGCTCAAGCCACCATAGGAGCTGCGACCTTCGCCGAAAGCCATGACCGAGCACCCGAGTCGGCAACCCAAACTGCCAGACAGACTCGCAGTCCTCCCAACTAGAGGGGGGAGCACTGAATCAGAAAGAAGGACTGACACCATGGCAGCGTTGACGAGCTCCATCCCAAAGTCAGTCATCCTGCGGACAAGGCGGAGTCGTGGAGGCAATAAGGAGGCATATTAGGGCTCTATTCGGTCAACTAGGGAATTCGAGATTTTCTAGTTTCGCGAATAGAGAGAAATTGAGGAGAGACTAATTAGGTCAATCAATGGATTCAAGTACGGTTTGTTGCTCCGCGCAAAAATGATGATTTCATCAAGTACAATTTCTCTTTTCTCTCTCTGGGTTTTCTCCAAATTAGCAAGGGAAACCCAAGTTTTATGTCATCGTCAGCCTTCTCCCGAGCATGGCGCTCTGGACGTCGCGATGCTATCTAATACCGGACCCTGCCCCTGGGCTTCTGTCGCGTCGTAAGCCTCTCAGGTGAGTAGCGTCTTGCCGCATCGCTTTGATTGGCTTTATGTTTCTCGAGCGGTTTGGGCGTTTTGATGGTGTGGCTGGGTGGCATGCCCCAATTACCTCCTTGTGGTGGTTGGAGTTTAGATTAGCTCTTTATTCCTCATGTTCTCCTGCCTTCCTTGGCGTTATGAGGTAGGTTTTTGCCAGTGGACGGGTGTTGTGGACTCAATGGCTGTTGCCTTGTGCTATCGGCTGGCACAGAGGGTGG